TGTTTCATTTAAATTTGAGGGTATAATGGTCATTTTACACTGAAAAATAGTGAAAATGATGTTTTCCACACTGAAACGTTGAAATAGGGGCAAAAATGCAAAAAAATGAAACGGTGGGACGTTTTGCACACTAACTATCAAACGTAGGGACGTTTTGTGCTAATAAGCCAATTTAAGAACACAAAAGTGGAGTGGGGTTTGGAAGGGGACCTGCATTGTGAAATTACACTCAACACATATTTTTCAATTTATCATTTCAAAAATCAGGTGTAAAGTTTTATCTTTTAAAAAATCAAGTGTATCTCACCTCTCACCCACCTACACAGTAACACACCCACACACCAACACCGAACCCCAATTTATTCTTTTACTCATTCTCCAAGTCACAATCACACCCACACCACTACAATTATCACCCACCACCATTATTCGCTGTCACCACCAACACCGCTTGTTGCCACCACATAAGTAACACTTGGTTGCTGTCATTCGCTAGCAACATTGTGCTTGACAGTGTGTCGCTTGAGGTGGTGCACCGCCTGTGGCAGACACGACGTCGACAAGTGTTGGTGTTCATAGAGAAAAAGGGGGAGGGAAATTAAGGTTTGGGTGAGGATTTAGGCCGAGGGAACCTCCAGTGTAAAATCATCGCACAACGCCTCAAAATTACCATAGGAGAAACCACATCGAAGCGACTGAGCAACGGTTACAAGCTGCTTCACGCGATCCTGATGTGGGGCTGCATCGCGACAGATAGAAAATGGAGAGGAGGAGGAAGAGAAGAGGATAGGAGAGGAGAGGAGAGGGAGAGCATCGACAACACCGCCATAGAGGTTCCACTTCGAGCTAGTGGTGCCAGCGGGGCGGCGACGGCGGATGACTAGAGAAAAGAGAGAAAAATAGAGATGATGAAATAATTATGGTTTTGATGTGTATGATTGGATATAATGACTACGTATATTAAAATTTGTATTATAATTATTAAAATTTTAATTATTATCTGATTTTTGAAATAAAAACTTGTAAATCTAAAAAGTTTAAAATTATTGTTACATGTAATTTCCATTGGTAAATAGTAACTGAGCCATCCAATAGTTATGGGCTGTATGAGCCCATGAATGGAAGGTCGAAACCTAAACCTACGCATTGTGGCCTTTTAATATATATTGCTCACCGGGAATAGGGTTTCTGCATTTCCAGGAGTA